GACGGGCAAGGACAGGACGTGGAAAACGGACATGTCCATGGAAAAACGGACGTTTGGTCACCCTACGCTACGCACAGCGACCGACATTCTGCTTGTTGATTAAAAATGAACGTAATCGACGAAATTCTTAATGATCAATTATCGATTAATCGATTAATCATGCCCATCCCTAGGTAGAACAGAGCATTTTGAGCTTTGAGAAATTTGGACAGACTAATAATAATAAAGGATTGCTCAAACATTACTCATGGAACAAAGACAAAACAAACACAAATCATAATTTATATTTAAAAAAAGAAGAGAATTCATGATAGAAAATATAATAAATAAATAAATAATAACAACAACAGCAATAATAATAATAATAATATATTTTTGAAAAAGGAAAGGAAAGAAAGGGGGGAAGACGAAAAATAAAATAAAAATGATGCGTTAAGACTGTAGTAAAAAGTAAAAGATGATGAAAGGAAATGATGATGGTGAAAACAATATTAGTTAAAGGTCGTATGGAGGATTTTTTTTTTTTTTTTTAGTTTCAAATTGTCAGTGAAAGTTTAAAATACCATTACAGAGACGCAGCAGCCTTGTAATTATGATGACCAAAAAAAAAAGAATGAAAATCTATCAACTGTGGACGTAGTGAGGCCAGATAAACATCAGCCAATAGATAATGAGACTACCTCTTTATCTATTGGCTGTTAGGTTGTCAATCAAACTCCCTAAGTTTTTAATGTAACTGAGTCGTTGGCGTACGTGGTTTATGCAGCGGTTCTTAGAGGCTTTTTCAAACTGTCGCTTCCTCGCATTTCGCACAAAGTTTGTCGCGATGGCGGACGAGAATCCACGACCGGTTCGCCGCAAAAGAAAGTCCGTTTTTGAGGTCGCTGAAAGAAGAAGAGAAGGGGAAAAGGAGCGAAGACAAACTGAGGTGATTCTTGGAGATTCCTTCCAGCGATGGCGCGACTGAAGCAGACGAAGGGTCTAAAAACTGAAATGTCACTTCAACAGTAATTCTGGACGCGCACTGGAGGTAAACAAGCGTGATTTCTAGAGTCAGGAGGCGGGAGGAGGTGTTTCTACTGAAGGAGCTGTGGAGGAGGAAGGTGGTGTCACGCATGAACAACATTTGGAAAAGGAGTGTTGCTGTATTTCTCTTTCCTTAAAAAATCCTCCATACAACCTTTAAGTAGAGTTACTAGGGGTGTAACGGTACATGTATTCGGTACGAGGCGTTGGGTTTGGTGCAGGGTTATGTGTGTTTATATTCCACCACTACATGTGCAGCTACACGGAGGCTCGGCTTTTTAATATTCAGAAGAGAACTCATCCATAATTGGGTGTCAGTGTTTCCCGCGGCGCTTTATAGTTAGGGCGACCACCTTGATAACAATTGCCCCCCGCCTTGACTATGTCCCTCCGAACTAGAGCCCGACCGATATGGATTTTGCTGTGGCCGATATGAAACCCATATAATGGGAGTTGGAGCTGCCGATATAATCCCCGATATATTTAGTGACGTAAAAATTCACTGTAAATGTTGAATTGTTTAAAAAACTTAGGTTTGGCTCTGGTGGATTTTAAATTGAGTTTATTTAGGCAACATTTATTGTTATTCTGCCTCTTTACATCATATTTACAGACAGTAGGTTGGTTTAATGGCATTTTTGCATCACATTCTAGACACTAGTGATGGGTATTCCAGTTCTTTTTAGAGAACCGGCTCTTTTGGCTCGGCTCACTAAAAGCTGCTGGTTCTTTTGGCTCCCAAGTGGCTCTTCAGATTGTTTTGTTGCAAGCAAGTCTAAAGCACGTCTAAAGCAGGACTGAATCAGGACTGAACCAGGTCTAAACCAGGACTGAAAAAGGTCTAAACCAGGACTTACTTATTTTATGCTAAACTACAGCAAATATGCTCGTTTTTTTTTTTTTTTTTTTATCCTATGTACACGCAAATTTCTCAAAGTTTCGTTTTCAGCCGCTGCCGCTGTCAAACCACGAGTCTGCACGCGGCGTGAACAGGAAAAAAGTGAGAGAAAGAGAAAACACGGCTCCTAATAAGGATCAGGCTCCCGTCGTTTCGCTTCAAAGAGCCGGTTCTAAGAGTCATTTCGTTCGACGGACCCATAACGGACCGCTATTAAGCCGTAAATGCTGCGCGCCGCAATTTATTTATGCAAATGTCATAATTCACACATCTGTTCACAGCTCATTTACATATTCAGTGCAGGTCCAGTAACAAATATACGGCCAATATAGTCACTTTACAAAACAGACCAATAGAAAACAGTCTGTTTATATGTGCGGGAGCTACAGCAGCTAACCCATAAACAAATGACAAAAACTAGCTTGAAAGTCGACATATTTCCAACACTCACCGCTCACACAGGCTCCTCCCACATCACAATCTGCACTAAATAAATGTCCTTTTAATTCAGACTCAAACCGATTGTCCGTAAAAAGAAAATAATCTCAATGTTTGGATCTGTGTCTGCGGATGTAAACAAACACACGTGAGTGACGCGACTCTGTGGTGTGTTCAGGGACAATACGGACACACACACACAGACAAATGACTCCGTAGATAAATATTGATGTGGAGCCACATATTAGGACATTTATCTGTCTGTAAATTGGATTAAATGAACAGAATGTAGAGAGTCTAAGATTTTTTAACGACGTATCACATGCCCACGTGAAATATCGGCCCCTATCAGCAAGCATATCGGCCGATAGCCGATATGCCTCGAGGTGCCCATATCAGCCGATAATATCGGCCAGCCGATATATCGGTCGGGCTCTACTCCGAACCACATGAATCCTCACAAAACTACATTTGTTGCGCCACGGCCCTCACGTTTGCCTTTCGCCGGCGTGGAATCTCCGCTCCCCCCCCTCCTCCTCACTCGCAACCTCTGTCCCAAGAAAAATGGTTTTGCTGGAAACGTTGTAACTGCAGCAGTTGTTTTTTGTTTTTTTTTTCTGGCCAAAAATATGAAGATTAAATAAAAGTTCATGCTGGAACTGTTTGTGCTGCACTTTACTTTTTGAAAAATTGTGTTTACTGTTTACAAGGAATTTATTTTTTGTAATATTTCATACATTTGTTGCTTATTTGAGAACATTTTATTTAACTTATTAGTATTACTGAGCAGCTCGTTGCATTTATTCTATTTTACCGTTTGTATAATGGTAAAACAAATTGTTGGTTTAATAAAAACACAAATGAACAACAAGAAAATGGTTTTGCATTTTGTTCCCAAAAATGAACCGAACTGTGACCTCAAAACCGAGATACGTACAGAACTGTGATTTTTGTGTACCGTTACACTCTCTACACACTAATAGTTACTAAAAGTGTTTATTAAAAATGGGGGAAAAAAAGAAAGAAAAGAAAATTAAATGATAAATTGTCCAAAATACAAATATAAGGAAGCCTAGTAGTATGGTTATGCTTCACTAACACATTACCTGTATTTTTATTGACTTAAATTTGTGTGTTTGGGGGAAAGAGGTGGCAAGCTTTGTTGTTTGTTTTAAGTATTATTTCATAGTATTTTCCAGGCTATTAAACGCGCTTTTAAGCCTCCAACCCCATCAAAAAACGACTGCGTCCCACAATCCAGAGCGCCCTGTACATGAATCCACTCGGGTGTCCCAGCACGACTTCAGTAAACTACAAAGCCGCAAACACACACGGAGCAGACAGCGACCGCACAACGAAAAACACCCACAGACACACTCATCACTCCACGCCGACGAGGAACGGAACGGAGGAACGAACCGAAAAAAGCGAGTGCAATGTGCCGCTTCTAGACACGACTGAACAACTGAAGGGTGAAGTATAGTTCTGCGTCGACTCAACGCGCACTGCTGCCGTCGCCTTGTCGCCGTCGTTTTTGATTTATGGATCTGCGTCGAGGTCTGTGCACCGCGAAGTAATTCACTGTCAAAACGCTAGGGGGCGACGATATCTGTCCATTCATATATAAAGTCTATGCGTGTGACCTGCAGACGTATAATCTCTGAAAAGTTTAACATGAACCATCTCCAACACGATAAAAGCACAGAACAGACTCATTAGTACAATATGACTCTGTCACAGAAAGAACACTCATATTCCACTGAGTCGTGTCCTTTTTAAGTCCGACAGAAACTGACCGCGTACCAGGAGCGAGCTGTTTTTTTTTTTTGAGCGCTTAGTTTACGCAAGTTAGCCGTGCGGTTTTAAGTTTCGTTTCTGTAAAACGTAAACACATAAGCACAAAGCTGCACTAAACACATTTCTCAATATATACTGAAAGAAAGAAAAGCCGACAGGAAATGTAAACAGAGCGGTGGCACGGAAGACCAATCACAGCTCTTATCGTCTGCGTGGTTTTGATGCGTAGTTAGAACATTTCGGAGGTGCACGTCAGTCGATGCAGAGGCTCTGCGTTGGGGGTACGCGTCAACACAGAGTCTCTGCATCGTGACGCAGACGATTTGACGCTGGACCGTAAATTGGCCTTGAGTCACTGTGAACACGCCGACAACCCGTTGGTCCCAGACAGCACCCTCCCTACACGCCACAACTGAACAAAGCCCAGAGTCACCGTGAACGACAACAAACAAACAAAAACCACTCACCATCACACTGTTGGGTTTCCCCAATTTAAAAGTCCCACGCGGTTTGCTACAGAAATTTGCTGAAAAACTGAGATTCAAAAAAAAAATAGACAATTTAATGACAGTGGTGCTCTACGCCTAATAGCCCGGAAAATACGGTATGTTTTTTTCATTTTTATTATTGTATTTTGTTTAATTTTATATTCTATTGTCTTTCCTCATGTGTGAATGAAACAAAACACAGGTCTGTTTTTGAAGCGTTAACGACATTAAACATGGATTAAAGCTCCCAAGAGTCAGTTTAGTGTAATATAGGACCTTTAAACACATTTCTTTCGCTTTGTTTCGAGGATTATAATAGTTTAAGCAGGATAAAAAGCGCTGGCGTTACTCACTGCCACGTTGTAGATGGCCATGCCCACGGCGCGGTGGTCGTTGATCTTCTCGGTGGAGATGGACTTGGTCTCGTACGCCAAGAAGATCCCGAGCAGCAGGAGCAGACCTTTGTACCCGTACACCACACCTGAGGAGAGCAAGAGAAACACATTTCAGTTCATTTCATTTGGGAGAGTACAGAACCTGCTTGTCACCATGGAGATATTATTGCTTTGCTTGGAATGCTTCACAATATGGCATTAAATCCATTTCTCTGGTGTTTATTTAAACAGAAGAGTCCTAATTGTTAAGAAGAAACATTAAAAAAACATCCATTCCCACTGGGCTTGTTTCTCACAGACCTGACCTGTAACTTCACCTGCTGATCTCCATGTACACAGATCAGTTTAATGCCATACTGCAGAACATTCCAGGCGAAGCAATGACACAGTGACAGTGCTATTGTCCCACATCGAAAATCACCTCTGCACTACGAAAAAGCTTGACCAAAATGCACGATATAAACACTTAAATCTATCAGAAAAATGATTTAAAACTAGTGAAATTCTCTGTCCATGCAGCAAAATCATTTTACTTGACAAGTTTTCTTAAAATAAACGACCTCTAGACGAGAATGAAGCAGTTTCAGAACGAGTAAGTAGAGAATAAATCTGAAAACAAGATGAATAACCTGATATAAGTTTTCAAATCTGGCCAGATCAGAGAAATTTGCAGTGTGGGTTTTTGTATTTTTGATTAAGTGGGACTAAACTCCTCCACAAACACATTTCAGATAGAGCGGCTGAACCTGGGCAGAACCGGGAGGACTAAAGGGAGAGGACTAAAGGGGAGAGTGAGGGGGAAGGACGAATGTGTCTGGAAATATAAGAAAGAGTGTGACAAGTATCCACACTTCAAACTCCACTCCTGCAGCCTGGTGTTTCTGATCTGAAACTGATGGCTGTATCAGGGCAGTCTTGTGCGATGTCACATAGTACTTGAAATTACAGTGGCCACTAGAGGCAGCACACACTCATATACCACCACCATTTTGTTTTAAAAGGACGTGGAACAGAAGATAATGCGATTAAAACACCACATACACAGTTCAGCAGCAAAAAGTTGATATAGTGTTTAGAGGAGGATGGAGGAGAGAAGGAAAAAACGAGGGAGAGAGGTGAGAAAGGAGAAAGGGAGAGGAAGAGGAGAAAGGGAGAAAAGTGAGGGAGAGGGAGAGAAGAGAGAAGGAGGGGAGAGCAGAGACAGAGACAGAAATCTCTCCAAAGTTCTCGTAACATTCAGATCAAAATCAGAAACTATTTTTACTTGAGATAAACAGTATTTTGATGCTTCGATCCATGAAAATCCATGCTGTTTCTCAGTCCTTTATTTTGTTTTTTCTAGGGCCGGGCACATTAATGCGTTAATTTTGCGTTAACTAATTAAGTCATTAAGTCAAGACAATTATTTTAACGCCGTTAACGCAGTTTTTATTATTTATAATTTTTTCTTTTTTTTATTGTAAACGTCTGTTTCTCACTGGCTTTTATTTTGAAAAAGTCCACCGCCAGTGTTTCTTTACGTTTGACGTTTCTTCACACTTTTTCACTTTTTTCTGACCACATGAGATGCAACGTGTGCGAGCCTCTGCGAGCCGTGGGTTCAGCCGCGGGTTCCGGCTCTGACCGGACCAGCCGTGAGCTCTGAGCTGAGTTTGTTTGTTTAGTTCAGCGCTGCAGGGGGAGTCACTGATTTACCCAGATACAACTGGAAGAAAAACTGTGATTGGTCCATTTCTATTCCATTATATTAACCCTTTGTTTCCCAAGAAATATCAGTCCAAGTTTAAAACAATGATCTAGAATTAGATTATTACTAGTGTCGTGTTTATTACTCACTGAATTAAAAATATTGAAAAAATATATTAGTAGTACAAAAATTCATTCAATATTTTTTCTTGAGCCTTCACTGAAAACCCTGAAGACTCTGAGGTTCCCCTGTGAAAGAAATGCTGTTTGCACAACAAATGTTTGTCTCTTTCATTTACATTTCCAATAAAAGTGCAATATACTCTACTTTTTAATTCATTAATTGGTGTTGCGTGTAACATGCGATTAATCGTGATTAATTGCACTCAAACTCATGCAATTAATGCGATTAATTTTTTAAATTTTTGCCCAGCCCTAGTTTTTTCTCGTGTAAGCCGCCATGTTTGTATTTGACACGAAAGGACCATACGTCTCTCTGATTGTCAATCACTCCCCCTGAAACCCGGGAGACAGGACGCAGCTCCAGATCCACTCGTCTTTGTAAAGTTTTGTTCAAATGTGTGGTTGTGGATGCCCCGGCCGCTCTGTCACTCACCGAGCCACGTGTTCATCTTCTCGGAGCTGCAGTGCTCCAGGAGGGGCTGGATCAGCACGTCCAGGTCGCCTTTAGGGTCCTCCCTCGTGAACTTCTGCACAAAACAAACCAAACGAGTGTGTCAGCAGTTTTTCACTCTTGTTCTTGCGGCAGTTTCACGTAAATTCAAGCTAGAATTTTTATTTTAGACACTACACATATCTCGAGTGGTGAGAGACATGACAGTCAGTTTGACCCTCTCACCGTTTGTAGAAAATCAAACATCTAAACAGGAGCATGAACGCCGGTGTTGATCACAGAGTTTGACGAGGATATAAAAGTATAAACTGTGTAAAAGCTGCGTTTGTCGAACCTCCACTGTGATGTGCAGAGGATCCACGATCTGCCAGATCATGAGAGACAGAACGTCTATGCCCAAGAGAACGCCAACCGTCGCATAGAGCTTCCACGGCTCCAGGTGCTGCAGGACGGAGAGAGAAAGAGAGAGAGAGGGAGGGAGGGAAGGAAAGGAGAGAGAGAGAGAGGAGAAAGCAAGAGGAAGAGAAAGAAGAAAGAGTGAGAGGGAGGATGGAGAGGAGGAAGAGAGGAAAGGAAAGAGAGGAGAGGTGAGAGGGATAGAGGAGGAAGAAGAAAGGGAGAATGGAGAGAGGGGGGGAGAAAGGAAAGCGAGGGAGAGGGAGCGAAGGGAGAGGAGAAAGGGAGAGAGATGGAGAGGGAGAAGAAGAGAGGGCATAAGAGAGAGGAGAAAGGGAGAGGGAGGGAGAGAAGGAGAGAGGAGAGAAAGGGAGAGAAGAGAGAGGGAGAAAGGGAGAGAGGGAAGGAAAGAAAGGAGACAGAGAGAGAGAGTGGGAGGAGAAGAGGAGGGAGAAGAGAGGGACGAGAGGAGAGAGAGAGGGAAGGAAAGAAGGAGAGAGAGAGAGAGAGAGAGAGAGAGTGGGAGGAGAAGAGGAGGAGAACAGAGGGAGGAGAGGAGAGAGAGAGGGAAGGAAAGAGAGGAGAGAGAGAGAGAGTGGGAGGAGAAGAGGAGGGAGAAGAGAGGAGAGAGAGAGAGAGAGAGGGAAGGAAAGAAAGGAGAGAGAGAGAGAGAGAGAGAGAGTGGGAGGAGAAGAGGAGGAGAACAGAGGGAGGAGAGAGAGGGAAGGAAAGAAAGGAGAGAGAGAGAGAGTGGGAGGAGAAGAGGAGGGAGAAGAGAGGGACGAGAGGAGAGAGAGAGGGACAGAGAGGGAGGGACAAAGGAGAGAGAGAGGAGAGATGGGGAGAGAGTAGAGAGGGAGAAACGGGCAAGAGAAAGGAGAGGAGAAAGAAAGGGAGGGAGAGAGAAGAGAAGAGGAAGGGAGAGAGGGGAGAGACAGCAGTTAAGAAAGACAGAAGAGAGGGAGAAAGGAGAGGAAGGGGGAGAAGAGTGAGGAAAAAGGGAGAAGAGAGAAAGGAGGGAGAGAGAGAGTAGAGAGGGAGAGAGAGGCAAGAGAGGTAGAGAGGGAGAGAAAGGGAGAAAGAGAAGAGAGAGGAGAGAAAGGGAGAGGAGAGGGAGAGAAGAGAGAGGGAGGATGCAGGAAAAGAGAAAAAGAGGGAGAGAGGGAAGAGAGACAGCAGTAAAGAAAGGGAAAAGAGAGGGAGAAAGGAGAGAAAGGGGGAGAGGAGAGGAAAGAAAGAGGGAGGGAAGAGAAAAGGAGAGGAGAGAGGCAAGAGAGAGGAGAAAGGGAGAGGAAGAGAGAGAAGAAAGAGGGAGGACGGAGGAGAGGAGAAAGAGAGGGAGAGAGGGAAGGGAAGGAGAGGGAGAGGAAGGATAGAGAGAGAGAGAGAGAGAGTAGAGAGGGAGAGAGAAGGAGAACGAGGGAAGAGAGAGGAAGAAGAGAGAAAGGAAGAGGAGAGGGAGTAAGAGAGAGAGGAGAGGAAGAGAAGGAAGGATGGAGGAGAGAGGAGGGAGAAGAAAGGGAGAAGAGAGGGAGAAAGGAGAGAGGAGGAAGGGGAGAAAAGAGAAAGGAGAAAGGAAGAAAGAAAAGGGAGTTACATCTCAGTACAATACACAAACAAATCAATCTACTTTAAATGACCCATATTACAGTATTTTCTGATCTATGTTCCACCTTGTGATGTCATGTGGTGATACAGGAAGTGCTCCACTGTGTTTTTAAACTCCACACACCTTCACGAGAATCATTCATAATACTAATTTCACTTCTCACGACATAAATAACGTACAGGGCCTTTAAAATCTCTCTCCCGTTTACGTTGGCAAATGATCCAGATATATTTCCACGACACTTCTCTGTGTTTGTATTTCAGTCGATTACTTTGTCCTGTTCGTCAAACGCTGTTGTGACGCGTCGATCGCCAGAAGGAAAAAGCTCCGTCCAAACTCGCTAAATCTCTGCCTTTGATTCCCTGAAGGAGGATTTATGGAGGCGCAAACAGAACGAGCGAAGCACAGAACTCTGATCCATCACAAACAGGGGCCAATTCAATCAGAGCACGGGCACTGGGCCATGACAGCGGAGAGACTGCGCACTCCCGTACACTCCCATACACGGACTCCCATACACTCCCATACACGGACTCCCATACACTCCCATACACTCCCATACAGAGACTCCCATACACTCCCATACACGGACTCCCATACACTCCCATACAGAGACTCCCATACACTCCCATACACGGACTCCCATACACTCCCATACACGAGACTCCCATACACTCCCATACACGGACTCCCATACACTCCCATACAGAGACTCCCATACACTCCCATACAGAGACTCCCATACACTCCCATACAGACTCCCATAACACTCCATACAGAGACTCCCATACACTCCCATACGGACTCCATACACTCCCATACACGGACTCCCATACACTCCCATACAGAGACTCCCATACACTCCCATACAGAGACTCCCATACACTCCCATACACGGACTCCCATACACTCCCATACACGGACTCCCATACACTCCCATACAGAGACTCCCATACACTCCCATACAGAGACTCCACACTCCCATACACTCCCATACACGGACTCCCATACACTCCCATACACGGACTCCCATACACCTCCATACACTCACTCCACTACTCCCATACACGGACTCCCATACACTCCCATACAAGACTCCCCTACACTCCCATTTCATACACAGACTCACGATACACATACACTCCCATACAAGGAGTCTCATACACTCCCATGAACTCCCATACAGAGACTTCCATAGACTCCCATACACTGACTCCCATACACAGACTCCCATATACTCCCATACAGAGACTCCCATACACGACTCCCATACACTCCCATACACCTCACTCCCATACACTCCCATAAACAAACTCCCATACACGGACTCCCATACAAGGAGTCTCATACATAGACCTCCATACACGGAGTCCCATACACTCCCATGAACTCCCACACAGAGACTCCCAGAGACTCCCATAAACCCCCATATACAGGCTCTCATACATGCATTCCCATAGACTTCCATATACAGACTCCCGTACACAGACTCCCATATACTCCCATACACAGACTTCCATACACGGACTCACATAAACTCCCATAAACAGACTCCCATACACTCCCATACACTCCCATACACGGACTCCCATACACTCCCATACACGGACTCCATACACTCCCATACAGAGACTCCCATACACTCCCATACACGGACTCCCATACACGGACTCACATACACTCCCATACACGGACTCCATACACTCCCATACGGACTCCCATACAGAGACTCCCATACACTCCCATACACGGACTCCCATACACTCCCATACACGGACTCCCATACACTCCCATACACTCCCATACATGGACTCCCATACACTCCCATAAACAGACTCCCATACACTCCCATACACAGACTTCCATACACTCCCATACACAGACTCCCATACACAGACTCCCACACACAGACTCCCATAAACAGACTTCTATACACAGACTCCCATAAACCCACATACACAGACTCCCATAAACTCCCATATACAGACTCTCATACACAACTCCCATAGTATACACAGAGTCCCATACACAGAGTTTCATAAACTCCCATAAACAGAGTCCCATAAATGCCTATACACAAACTTCCATAGTATACACAGAGTCCCATACACACACACTCCAATAGTACACAGAGACTCCCATAGACTCCCATACACAGACTCCCATAAACCCCCATACCTAAGACTCCCATAGTATACACTGAGACCCATACATAGACTCCCATAAACAAACTTCCATACGCAGACTCCCATAGACTCCCATACGCACACTCTCCTTAGACTACCATAGACTCCCATATACAGACTCTCATACATAGACTCCCATACACTACCATTTACTGACTCCCATAGACACTCATAGGCTCCCATATACAGACTCCCATACATAGACCCCCATAAACTCCCATACACAAGACTCCCATAGTATACACTGAGTCCCATACATAGACTCCCATAAACAGACTTCCATACACAGACTCCCATACATAGACTCCCATACACAGACTCCCATAAACCCCCATACCTAAGACTCCCATAGTATACACTGAGACCCATACATAGACTCCCATAAACAAACTTCCATACACGGACTCCCATAGACTCCCATACACAGACTCCCATAGACTCCCATATACAGACTCTCATATGTAGACTCCCATACACTACCATATACTGACTCCCATAGACACCCATAGGCTCCCATACATAGACTCCCATAAACTCCCATACACGGACTCCCATAGACTCCCATACACAGAATCCCACGTACTGGTGGTGGAAGAAGTACTTGATTTTACTACTTAAATAAAAGTACAGCTACCAAACCTGCTTGTTTCTATGAAGACGTCACTGCTCTGCCTGGAATCCATCGACTCCGGCTCCAGTTCCCTTCGCACTGAAAAAAACGTCTCGCCCCCCTCTCTGTAAACTGCTGCTGTCAAACTCCCACAGACTCCCATACACAGACCCCCACGCTCAGACACACACGCCGGATGCGTACTGCAGAGGCAGAGGGAAGTGATGTTGTATTATCCACATGAGAGCGCCTGTCACCCGGACCAAAGACGGACGACAATAAAGACACATCCACGGGAGCTCGTCTTCGGTAATGGTGTTGTGGTCGGAGTGAGAAATGGACCGTCGCCGAGTCGGACTGAGGACGGCGCCGCTTTATTGGTGTTTCTTTGTGGAGAAATGTGTCTATAGGTGATGTCAACAAAGGGCAGGGGCCTAGCGACAATTTCAGACTTTATTACGTAATCTTTACACCTACACTTTTGGAAGAATAGGCCACACACTCGGTTCTGTTCAAGCTGCGGCAGTCGTCCCTCGAGGTCAAAACATGAATCGGGAGTTTTTAAATTGGGTGAATGTGAGGCTCCACTTAGAGTAGGTGAAGACAACCGAGGGCCCGGCACAGCATGATTTAGTCCTGGT